GTCATTCATTCACTAAACTGATCTGCAGAAATGGAGCAAGCGGTAAACAGAAGTTATGATTATCAGGGCCAGTATCAATATGCGGAAAAGCTGATTGTGTTTACTTTTAATTCAACATCTTCGCTGTTACTCGTTTCCCCGTGTAGACTAGCCTACATGTAAGCAGCTTTCTCTACCGCAAAGGAGATTATAATGCTATTTTACCCGACGCTGATGTACAGAACTAACATTACATCTGAGGAAGACATATATTGCTTTCGGTTGCTTAGTTTCCTTAATAGTTTCCTTAACTTTGTATCATGGCTTGTGTGACACTTTGCTGTAATACAGGAGCTTCCCTCATACGTCACACTCCAGGATTCCCCAACGACGCATAAGTGAACTAATACAGTGATATATACAGTGAAGTGATAAATACAGTGAAGACCTCAGATCTCGGAATACACTTTATTGATGATGCGAACGATATAGACTACAGTTAAGCAGATGTAGAATATGAACGATTGCTTAAGGTTTCACGCTGTTTCCGTCAAAAATCTTTTACAAAAAAACAACCTTTACGCGGCTCAGTGGGCTCACACAATGATAGCTATTAAAAGACCAAACTCATAATACACCTCACTGATGATGCAAACTATATACAGACAGATGAAATCAGAATATGAACGCAAGTTACGCAACGCGCAAAACTGCACGTTAAACATATTTCACATAAAGAAGAAGACACTTAATTTGCTTTATCCTCAAGACAGTCATAATAAATGATCAAATTCGGCATCTAATAAATAAAGAATACTATGTACAGTTAATCAGATGAGCCCACAACCCACAAAGTTTCACCAAACCTTTTTTTCTCCTATAGAGAACCAAGCGCGGTAAAGTTAGTTTTAGGTTTTATTTTGGCTGCATATTCGCAGATGCTGCTTTAGGGGTCATCTGCAAATTTACCTCACAGAAAAAAACGAAGTCCAATAATTAATTCAAATCAATGTTTACAGTAAATGCCTAGAGGGCAAACTGACTAAATATATATTGCCAATAACTGGCCTTAGACAATACTTTCCCTAAGTATGTACACAAATATTTTTTTAAGAAAACAAATGGGTTTTTCGTGTTCCAAAAGTTTTAGTATGTTCCTATTAAACAGACTGACTTACTACAGTTGACATTTTGCTAATATCTTTCTTACTGTACAGTATATAATTATTCTTAAGAAATTACTGTAATTCACCTAAAAGTTTTTTTTAATGTTCCAAAGGTTGTAGTACGTTCCTAGTGACTAGACTGATTTACTATAGGTAAAACTTTGCTAATATCTTCCTTACTGTACATACAGTAGATCAATATTTTATACTACAACCTTTGGAACATGAAAAAACCCTTTTGAGGACTTTTATTTTTTTTTTACATAATTGTGAACGGTACATACAGTAAGGGAGATATTGGCAAAATTTCACATGAAGTAAGTCAGTCTTGCAACTAGCAACATACTCCAACCTTTGGAACATGAAAAAAAAAAACACTTTTTTGTGAATTACTGTAGTTTTTAAAAATAAATCTGTATACTGTGCATACCCTAAAGGAGATATTGGCAAAATCTAACCTGTAGATTTTTAGTCTCGAGCAAGACTGTACGACATTCACATTACATGATTTGAGTGATTTTTACGTAGAAAGGGCGACAGCGCACCGCATTAAAAGAAATGATCATTCATGTTTTCATAACCGCTGGCCAAATTCAAAAACTAAACTAAAATGTAATCATCTTTGAGAGCAAGGGGGCCCCCTGGTGTTTCGGGGGCCCTACGCAGCTTGCGTATTTAGCGTATAGGGAGGATCGGCTCTGAGTGCAGCAGTTTACGCACAGAGTCTATTTCTGCTGTGCTGCACACACTGAATTAAAGTGACAGCGCATTGTTCGCAGTAAAAATGGACATGGATTGACACGAAAATTTAGTAATTTCACAATAAATTGATATAATTAAAGTCTACTGTGTTTCACAGTCAACACGTGGCTTTTTGGTTAGGTTTAAAACAAGGAAACCCTTATGAAAATTAACCATGGTTTTACTACAGTAAAAGTGTATAACCACAGTTTTACTACAAATACCATGTAACGTAGTGTAGCAAAACCATGGTTATTTTGTGGTTACCATGGTTTAACTATAACCATGTTTTTTGGTTTTATTTGTAGTAAAACCATGGTTAATTTCGCACTTTTAGATAAACAAGGCAACATGATAGATGCACTTGTGGAGGTAGAAAAACAAAGTTCTTTAAAACCGCGGGATTACTTGTAATAAAGATTGAAATGCAAAAGAACCCACATGAAAAAATTGTAATATAGTATACTATACAGTACAATATATATATTGTATATATACAATATAGTATAAAATATAGTAATTTATAGTAAATACTATAGTGTTTTTGAACCATACTATAGTAAAGTACCTGAATTAATTTGTTGTGGTAATTCTATAATTGCTGTGGTAATATAACAACTATAGTAATATAAACAAATTACCTTACCCAATAGTGTACTAAGCTTATATTTTATATTATACTACAATACACTGCAGTTTACTGTAGTAAAGTGTACTACAGTATTTATTACAGTTTATCAGTTCACTATACAGTATGCTGTAGCATTCATTAAAAAGTGTTGTAAATACTATAATATGTACAGTACAATACACTTTACTATAGTATGGTTTAATTCAGCACAATAATAGCATCAAATAAACGATAAAACAGACGAAAATCAGTCAGAATCAAAAATCATTTTCTAAAAATAACACCAGTCTGATGTTGCCTCAATAAGACAGATGTCATCAGATAATGAACAATAATTTGCCGTAATTGTGATAGATGTGATTTTGTGTAATGATATTTGCGGTCTGAAAATACATTCCCTGTAGTTATATGAGGCGACTGGATCAGATCCACACAGATCAGAGCTCTCCTTTTCTGTAGGGCGAAGTGTAAAGATGAGGCCATACAGGCGTAATCATTTCTTTTCATTTATCAGGAGCGGTTTAACATAATATAGCCTAACTCTGTGCTGCATCTCTGTCAACTCATTCAAGTGTTTGTGAGTGTCATAGTATGTTATTCCGTATAACTCTACTGTGTCACATTTGTGCTGATCTCAACACTCTGATTGTCTCTTATTAACACATGCTGAATGGCACATAGAGAGCGCCACCTACAGACAGGCCAGGAAACTAAGGTAACTAAGAAATCTCCCAATAATAACCAGCTGTGTTCACTTACATTCTTATTCTTCAATTCTAATATTAGAACCGGCCGTCCACATGACAGCGTCCACCGACGTGACCAAGAAGAAGAAAAGCAAGAAATCAAGCGAGGACGCCTTGAAGAAGGTGAACACTGACCTGCTGAACAGCATCTTTGGACAGGTATCTCACACGCCGTCACTTCTGCTCTTGTGTTTGCAGTCTGTATTGAGATGGTCTCTTGTGTCAAGCTGATCAACTTCTGTTCAGCACACAAAGTCCACATGACCTGTGTGCTTTATTCTGAATATTCTGAAGTCATATATGATAGACTTCAGAAATCAGAGCACTTGGAATAAAGCACACAAGTCATGTGGACTCCTGTTAGGATACTTTATATCACATTAAATCATATTAAACAGTCATATTATATCATGTAAACAGTCTCACTCCCTATTATGGAAAAGAGCTGTCTGGACATTCTGCTGAACGTCTCCTTCTGCACTTTTTACCATTTCATTTACAAGAAATAATTTCTCTTCTATTGATGCATTTGTCTCCATGTGTTTTTCTCTTGTTTTATTTACTTTGAGCATCTTGTTTTGTGGAATCTGCTCTTCAGATCATTGTGTCTTTTATTAAATCAGCACAGAATCATCAATCAATGTGCAATATTTTGGGACCCTTTATCCAAATAAAAATCTGGCTCTGTTTGTTTTATCCCGTCAGACTGAGCGTCTGCATTTACATTCATTTAGCAGAGGCTTTTATTTAAAAGTGGCTTACAAAGGAGGAACTTCACAGCGAATTTGTCATTAGAACCAACACAATTCCAAATACACAATGCCAAGTTTGAGTTATCGGTTAGTACACAGATTCAGGCAGAAAATATAAAGTGCTTGAGAAGAGATCTCAGCAGAAATGTGTATGCAGTATTATGCTGTTAATGGTTGCATTGCATTACAGTAATTAACTGCAAACACTTCTGCCAATTATTCACTGTAATTCTTGATTTAGAGTATATAACTGTCAACATTGGTGCCAGTTAGTTACCATAATGCCTCCGTTACAGTAATTAACAGCCAAACACTGTTGCCAGCATTTTACTGTAAAACAATCCTGGTAAGGTCTAACAGAGTAAAGATGAGGACATAAAATATTATTTGACAAGTGTTTTAAAATCTTACCTGTTTATTATCTTAAATCCATGACAGTGTACAAAAGAATTGTTCTAGCAACAGGACAAACACTTCAACATTATTACTATTAACAGTGAAGTCATTTACAGTAAATACAGCCAATAACTGAGGTACAGGATGACAGCAGTTGCATACCTGGATGAGCGTGTGGCGACTGACCAATCAGAATCAAGTATTCCAACAAATCAAACCTTATTGTAAAAGTATTGCCATTATAATTTTATTAATTTAATGTCTGCCTATAATCTGCAGTGTTATGAGCGAAACTATATGATTTTTATTTGTTTGTGTCCATTATTCATTGTTTTATGGCTGATGGTGTTGGTTCATGCTTTTTGCTGCAGTTTTGTCTTGGCGTCTTGTGTTGCTGTGAGACTGTATTTGTCTAATCAAGCTGCTCTTCTTAAACAAATGTTTATCTTAAAACAGATTTATTTTAAGTCAACCTTTATTTATTATAGTGTGTACGTTGATGTAGTCCAGGAGGATTCAGATGTGCAGCGCTTGTGACATTGTAAGATTGGATGAAGTTGTCATAAATTGACTTTTGGTTGAATTGATGATGCTGTGTTCAAGTTGTATGTTTTAGAAGTACACATGATTACTAGGAAACAAACCCATGAGCCTGATGTTCCCAGCACCATACTACATCTTAATAGATTTCTGTAGTTTGTAGGTGTAAGATGTTATTTTATTGTATATACATCCTTCTGTTTAAACTGCATTAGTCAGTCAGGCTTTCTGAGCTGTTATTAAAGGCTGTCTGGACTCTGCAGCTAATTCTACAGGTGCTTCTACAGGTTTTGGATAATCCAGAATTGTAAGTGGACTCTGATCACCTGCACCAGGATTGAAGAGAGGACCGACTGATCCAGAGAATCTGCTGCTGATGGTCAGGAGATGTTTACTCTCTTTGACGTTGTAAAATGACAGCAGACCCTCATCATAATCTAACAGAACTCCCAGTCGTTCAGGTCTCGGTGTCAGTGAGAGTTTAACTGGTGGTTCAGTGTTGGTGTAAAAGCCATGAGGACCGTCTGAACACAAGAACCAGAAACCAGCTGATGGAGTTAAAGCAGATCTGTCTCTTGTAGTAAAATGTCCATGTTTCACCACACCAATTAACCAGTAGTTTTTGGGAGGATTAGATGGATGTGCCAGCTCTACCTCCCAATAGTGACGACCAGAGGTGAATCTTTGGGCTCCAGATGCACATAATTGAAATGGAAATCCCTCTCCAGTGTGTTTATGTTCTGGACGATCCCTCACCATTTTACAGTCTTTAGAAACAATCAGACCTGGATGTAAATGCTCACGGTCAATAGTGATCTCAACTGTGAGGAAAAAATACATGAGCAACAGTTATTAATCCTCTTAAACTCTATGTATATGTGCATGTATTTATAATCTATGGACATAAAAATTAGATATTGCCACACCTGCATGTTTCCTCAGTTCATCTATATTGATGTCTTCCACAACTAAAATGAAAAACAATTTGAGATTTTAGAGAAAGAAAACTTCAGCTGTAATTGAGGACATCTACAAATAACATCAATATATTAAAGAAATAATTAGTTTTACAAACTTTTATGCATTGTTAATTCCCCATATTTGATTATGTTCACATTAGTTCTGGTATACTGTTAAAAGACACTGCAATAGTTTGTAAAAAACAATACAGTGGAGCCCAAAAGTCTGAGACCTTGAAAATCTGGGATATGAAATTCTACACTTGGAAATCTTACAAAAAATAAATACTGTGACATAAAATGAACTCTAAGTACAGACAGACAGATTTTCTTGCTTCCACTGGAACACAAGATGCTCGTTTTGTTGATAAAATTATTTATGAAAGATGATATGAAATTATAAAAATGCAAAACAGAAGCATTTTGACTATAATCGTTCTTGCTATGAAACCAAAAAATAACTGTCATCTTGTTTTACTGTGACTTACTGTGAGCTGAGGTTGGTCTCAGTGGATTTTATAGACTTATTTTCTGACATACCGATTCTTCTGTCATCATCTGAACTGTATGCCGGTCCTGTTACGTCTGTCTGCCCTGAATCGTCTGTTTGTCCCGTCACGACCATGGAGGTCTGTAATGAACTGTTTATCTGCCCTGAACTGTCTGCCTGCCCTGACACGACCATGGAGGTCGTTCCCCTATCCGCTGCACTCCCTGTGTTAGGAGTCGCACCATCTCTGAACCTCCAGACTGTCATGAACTCCCACCTCCTCTCAAGAGTCATCTGCTATGTTCTGCACCACTGCCGTTGCATTCTGCCAGCCCCTCAGCTCACTCTCAGCCCACCATCATTGATGTGGGTTCGCTGTGGGTCTGCCAGTCTCCATCGGCGCTGTGGCTGGAGGATCCTTTGTGTCCGCCTCGGCCCGTCGATCCAGCGGCTCCACCATGGCTCCTAGCTCCCTCACCTCCACCGTGGCCTGTCAGTCCACCAGCTCCACCTCCTCCCTTCATCCCTCCGGCTCCACCTTGGGTCCTCTATCACTCTGGCTCCACTGCGGCCTTCCGGATCCCCGTCTGCACCTCAGTTACCTGAGCCATCTGCTCCACCTAGGCCCTCCGGATCCTCTGCGTCGCCCTGGCTCTATGGCTCTCCGCCTCCACCCTGGGCTCCTCTCCCACCTGCTCCGCCACTGTCAGCCGGCCCCCTGGAGTCATCAGCCCTTTCTCCATGGCTCCTCCCTCCATCGGCTCCACCGTGGGCCGCATTCCTGGCTGCAGTCTGGGTCCCGCCTGGCTCCTCCTGCTCCAAGTCCCTCCTGTCTTCTTCCTGGCTCCTCCCTCCGTCGCCGCCACACTGGTCATCTGCCTGCCCTTCGCTGTCCCCTGTTACCATCCCAACTCCACTCCTTTGTCCTCCTCCTAAGTCCCCTCTGTCCCTCCATTGTTGTTTTGTTTACGGCGCGAGGTCGCGCCTGGCCGGACGGGGGAGTACTGTCACCATATGGACCTTGTGTCTGTTCTCCTGTTTTGTTTAGTGACCTAGTTTTCCTTAGTTCCCTTGATTAGTTCATTCTGTTCACCTGTGTCCTGTTAATTTAGTCATTAGTCCCTCTCTTGCTTTTGTATAAGTACTCCCTGTAACAAACGTTTGTAGTCACGGGAAGAAGGAGGCGGGAACCGGCGAACATTTAAGATTTTAATAAAATAAACAAACACAAAATGAACGTAAAGCGGCAGCCCCTCGCGGACGACTGCCGCACACAAAACACAAAATAAAGTCCAGGCCCGGTCCTCTCTCGTCTTTCACTGTCGTAACTCCTCCTTTTATCCTTCCGGAGCTCCTCCGTGGGACTCGAGACTGGTGAGTGGTGCAGGTGTCGCTCATTATCACTTACTCCACCCGCCTCGCTCCGTTCCCACAGCTCTCGGCCCCACCCCCACTCGTCACACTCCCCGTTTCTGTTCAGTCCTTGTCGGTTATTGTATTGTCTTTGTGTATGCTGCTTGTGTTTCCCTGTGTTTTGTATGGATCTTCTTCTTCTTGGATTCTTATTAAATGCTATATTGGAGTATCTTTGTCTTTGTGTGCCTTCCTTCCTCAAGAGCGTGACAACTTCAGCAGTTACAGTTCCTGTAAGTATAGCAAAGAACTAAACGTCTTCAAATACCTTTTTTCCTCAGTTTCTCCAGAGTTCCCTCCTCACAATCTAAAGCGAGAGAAAATTTCAAAGGAAAAGTTAATTATTAATCTGCTTCATAAATACTCCAGACTCTGTAAACCACAATAAATGTAACCCTTTCAGGCAGAAATTCATTTAGATGTTAACTATCAGTTGGGTTCTAATTTCTTAGGCTCAGGGTCAAAGGTCATTTCTGAAGTGGTTTCTCTAAGTAACCCCTGCACTCCAGCTCATTTGTGTTAAAGCACTGTGAGGTCATTCTGTCAATCCAGTAACTTGTTTCAGTTTTTGGTTTGTCTGATACAAGCATCACACTGCTCGTAATGTTCATCTATTTTGTGCATCAACTGGCATAAAAATGGGAATTTCTTTAGTTGTGTCAGACTTGCAAAACAATCAGATCAGATAATGGCAAATATTCTTGATTATCTTCTTTTAATAAGAAACAAAAAGCAATGGTTTGGTGTTACTCTTGTATGCAGCCTATTTAGTGGCTTCGGTGCAAAACCATCACATTTTACCTAAGAAAATTAAAACAGCTTATTATGGTATCATGGTATTTATTCAGTAGACTCTGCAAAATGGAAGCATTTCAACTTTAAACTCTCAAGCAAAATGAGAGATTTTAGTTTTGTGGTTTGTTTTTGTTTTTTTGTTCTCAAGAAGCAAAGTGAGAGAGATGGACAGGATGGAATAAACAACAAGCTTTACAAATACTGTATATGAATATATAACTGAGATGATGTCATACCTGGTACTTTCTTCGGTTCTTCTGCATTTGTTCCTAAAATCAGAAACAAATAATGTAAGGTTTTAGAGAAAGAAAACTACAGCTGTAATTGTGAGCAACTACAGTTATTAGTATGTACTGGAAATGCATTGCTTATGTAACATTATGCTTATATTCTCATTACGTGAATACAAGATTTCTGCTACAACATGCACATGAGCGTTTATTTGACGTTTAGTGGGTCCCTTCAGCAGCTGCCGTTAAAAATATTGCAAAGATAAACTTCTTCAAATACCTTCTTTTGTCAGTCTCTCCATAGTTTCCTCCTCACAAACTGAAATGAGAGAATTTCATTTTGAGGGTTTAATTACCAATTTATTCACACAAATACTCCACTTGATTAACCACAATAAATTCTGATGTTAAGCTGATTCATTTAATCATTTAGCAGACGCTTTTATCCAAAGAGACTTACAAATGAGGAAAATATAAGCATTTTCATATGTATTTCTGAATGTTAAAATGATGCACGTAGTTTACTTACTTTCTTTAGCTGGTTTCTTCCCTGAAAAAAAAATAATCAACACTTAAGAATAAAATACCTGCATAAAAACCATCTGAAGATAAAATTTAAATCGTTTAAACTATGATTGTACCTGTTAGTTTCTCTCTGTATTTGTAGAGGATGAACACAACCGAACCCAGAAGAGCACAGATGAGAAAAGTGAGGAAAAGAGCCTTCCATGGACCTGAGAAACAGAAACCAGACGAATCTAAACACCTTCAAAAAAAATATAAATCAATTACAGTAATAAAGTAGAAAAAAATGTATGGGATTTGGTTAGATTTTATTGATTGGATGGTTGGCAAGTAAGAGAGTAACAAGTAAGAGAGACTGATGACATCAAAGAAAATCGTTTCAGTGGTGGAGCGGAATAAAAAGCAACATGCATTCAACAATGTATGCTAAATAAATTATATAGATCAATTATATTTGCTTAAAATGTAACTTAAAGACGGAAAACCTGCAGTTAAGGTCACAGGGGGGAAAAAACTAATGTAAACGATCACAGGCCTAGCATTCAAGCCAATTTGATCACTTTTGTTTGTGGTATCTACAAATATCCATGTTCTCTAACCTGAAGACACGATGCCCTGTATGTTCAGTCTTCCTTCTTTTACTTCTCCAGTTCTGAGAGAGACTGAACATGAGACCAGTTGAGCGTCTGAGAGAGAGACGGCCGTCCAGCTGTGGACAGAGAACAGCTCATCTGCTCCACGACTGTGAGACGATCCTCCAGGACGGAGAGCCCTTCCATCATCTGACGTCCACGAGACGCTGGGTTCTGGATACCAGCCGCTGGACCTGCAGCTGATGTTCACACGCCCATCATCTAGAGGCTTTGGAAACAGGACAGGAGCGGATCCTAAAGCTGACGAGAGGAGGAGAGACAGATGTTCAGATCTTCAGATACTCTCTACATACAGTAAGTATATTGTCTTACACACTAATTGTGTTCTGAATTTTGAATGTCTTTCCAGGGTCTTCAAACACTTCAACATGTACATTAGAGAGCTGCATTGGGATTGAAACAACAGTTTAAAAGTAGCCCAGTTCTGTCGAAAACAAAACGCGGACTTGGCTCGTTTTAGTAGGCTGTTAGGTTAGGGCTAGTAGAATAAGTTGACATGCACTTGCAAAAAGTTACTTAAATAGCCAGCAGAATGTTCATCAAAATAAAGTGTTCGCAGATATTAAGCAGACAGGCTACTAATACCATGACTGCTAGTTGACATATAGTTATTGATAGTTAATAGAATATCTAAAATAGACTATCAAAGTAAAGTTTTATTTTTCAAATGAATTTATTTTCAAATAATTTATTTCAAATTTTTTTGTTAATATTGTTTACAAACATTGCAGCAATCGTTATGCATGGGATTTTTGGGCTGTCATGATCGTGAATATATCGTGAAATCTTGGGGAAAAAATAATGCTATCAGTCAAATTCATCGCTTATTTTCCTTGTGTTTTTCAATTCCTTTTTTGCCCAATGAATCATTGCATACCCTCAACGGCGAACCATAAGTAGGGTCTATGGTTTTTACCTGATCTCGAATCAGTTTTATAAATTTGTAGACATGTTTTTAATCTTTTAATTGGCCATCCATAAAACAAACAAAACGTCTCAGGTTACTTACGTAACCATGGTTCCCTGCGAAGGGAACGAGACACTGCGTCCTCTAGGGTTCACTATGGAGAATGCCTTCAGCGTGACCGGTGTCTGAAGCATACATCTAAAAACAACGTATTTATTCAGTAGACTCTGCAAAATGGAAGCATTTCAACTTTAAACTCTCAAGCAAAATGAGAGATTTTAGTTTTGTGGTTTGTTTTTGTTTTTTTGTTCTCAAGAAGCAAAGTGAGAGAGATGGACAGGATGGAATAAACAACAAGCTTTACAAATACTGTATATGAATATATAACTGAGATGATGTCATACCTGGTACTTTCTTCGGTTCTTCTGCATTTGTTCCTAAAATCAGAAACAAATAATGTAAGGTTTTAGAGAAAGAAAACTACAGCTGTAATTGTGAGCAACTACAGTTATTAGTATGTACTGGAAATGCATTGCTTATGTAACATTATGCTTATATTCTCATTACGTGAATACAAGATTTCTGCTACAACATGCACATGAGCGTTTATTTGACGTTTAGTGGGTCCCTTCAGCAGCTGCCGTTAAAAATATTGCAAAGATAAACTTCTTCAAATACCTTCTTTTGTCAGTCTCTCCATAGTTTCCTCCTCACAAACTGAAATGAGAGAATTTCATTTTGAGGGTTTAATTACCAATTTATTCACACAAATACTCCACTTGATTAACCACAATAAATTCTGATGTTAAGCTGATTCATTTAATCATTTAGCAGACGCTTTTATCCAAAGAGACTTACAAATGAGGAAAATATAAGCATTTTCATATGTATTTCTGAATGTTAAAATGATGCACGTAGTTTACTTACTTTCTTTAGCTGGTTTCTTCCCTGAAAAAAAAATAATCAACACTTAAGAATAAAATACCTGCATAAAAACCATCTGAAGATAAAATTTAAATCGTTTAAACTATGATTGTACCTGTTAGTTTCTCTCTGTATTTGTAGAGGATGAACACAACCGAACCCAGAAGAGCACAGATGAGAAAAGTGAGGAAAAGAGCCTTCCATGGACCTGAGAAACAGAAACCAGACGAATCTAAACACCTTCAAAAAAAATATAAATCAATTACAGTAATAAAGTAGAAAAAAATGTATGGGATTTGGTTAGATTTTATTGATTGGATGGTTGGCAAGTAAGAGAGTAACAAGTAAGAGAGACTGATGACATCAAAGAAAATCGTTTCAGTGGTGGAGCGGAATAAAAAGCAACATGCATTCAACAATGTATGCTAAATAAATTATATAGATCAATTATATTTGCTTAAAATGTAACTTAAAGACGGAAAACCTGCAGTTAAGGTCACAGGGGGGAAAAAACTAATGTAAACGATCACAGGCCTAGCATTCAAGCCAATTTGATCACTTTTGTTTGTGGTATCTACAAATATCCATGTTCTCTAACCTGAAGACACGATGCCCTGTATGTTCAGTCTTCCTTCTTTTACTTCTCCAGTTCTGAGAGAGACTGAACATGAGACCAGTTGAGCGTCTGAGAGAGAGACGGCCGTCCAGCTGTGGACAGAGAACAGCTCATCTGCTCCACGACTGTGAGACGATCCTCCAGGACGGAGAGCCCTTCCATCATCTGACGTCCACGAGACGCTGGGTTCTGGATACCAGCCGCTGGACCTGCAGCTGATGTTCACACACCCATCATCTAGAGGCTTTGGAAACAGGACAGGAGCGGATCCTAAAGCTGACGAGAGGAGGAGAGACAGATGTTCAGATCTTCAGATACTCTCTACATACAGTAAGTATATTGTCTTACACACTAATTGTGTTCTGAATTTTGAATGTCTTTCCAGGGTCTTCAAACACTTCAACATGTACATTAGAGAGCTGCATTGGGATTGAAACAACAGTTTAAAAGTAGCCCAGTTCTGTCGAAAACAAAACGCGGACTTGGCTCGTTTTAGTAGGCTGTTAGGTTAGGGCTAGTAGAATAAGTTGACATGCACTTGCAAAAAGTTACTTAAATAGCCAGCAGAATGTTCATCAAAATAAAGTGTTCGCAGATATTAAGCAGACAGGCTACTAATACCATGACTGCTAGTTGACATATAGTTATTGATAGTTAATAGAATATCTAAAATAGACTATCAAAGTAAAGTTTTATTTTTCAAATGAATTTATTTTCAAATAATTTATTTCAAATTTTATATTGTTTATTGTTTACAAACATTGCAGCAATCGTTATGCATGGGATTTTTGGGCTGTCATGATCGTGCGTGAAATCTGAAATCTTGGGGAAAAAATAATGCTATCAGTCAAATTCATCGCTTATTTTCCTTGTGTTTTTCAATTCCTTTTTTGCCCAATGAATCATTGCATACCCTCAACGGCGAACCATAAGTAGGGTCTATGGTTTTTACCTGATCTCGAATCAGTTTTATAAATTTGTAGACATGTTTTTAATCTTTTAATTGGCCATCCATAAAACAAACAAAACGTCTCAGGTTACTTACGTAACCATGGTTCCCTGCGAAGGGAACGAGACACTGCGTCCTCTAGGGTTCACTATGGAGAATGCCTTCAGCGTGACCGGTGTCTGAAGCATACATCTAAAAACAACAATAATATTGGCGGGCGACAGCCTATGACGCCATTACCCTGCGCGATCACAGTATAAAAGGGCGCCAGGATAACACGTCATCCACTTCTTCTTCTGAAGATTGCGTCCAAAGCATGGCAAGGAAACTAGAGGACGCAGTGTCTCGTTCCCTTCTCAGGGAACCGTGGTTACATACGTAACCTGAGATGTTCCCTTTTGAGGGAACTTCAAACTGCGTCCTCTAGGGGTTGCTATGGGGAACCCACCCACGGCACCATGCTGAGGGGAGTGCATGCCAGAAACCACGGCGAGCACTAAGTAACCAACTCTCTCTCAACTCAACTCTAAGTAACAGCCATGGGAGTTGCCCCTAGGACGCCTTGATGGCTGTCAGTGACATTATCCCCTCCAGCCAAGGGCCTGAGCTGCATACCCTAAACAACTTACCTGATAGTGGCTGGGCTGGGAAGCCCAAGCCTAGGGCAGAGCTCAAAGGCTTGGAATCAGAAGAAAGAGATTCCTTTGAGGGAATACGGCCAGGTGTCTAAAACCCAGACCCTGGCCTGTCACCCAGGGGGGCTACTGCCGGCTTGAATTAACTCGCTCAAAGAACCTGACTCGACAGATCTTTGGTAGCAACACCCTGCTCAGAAATGTATCAGCAGAGATACATTAGTAGAGTGGAGCCCAAGGCGAGAACCGGGGCCTAAGCCAACTCAGAGAATGGGAACGAGGCTATCAAGCCTAGGGCAGAGCTCAAGGCTTGGAATCAGAAGAAAGAGATTCCTTTAAGGGGATACGGCCAGGTGTCTAAAAACCAAACCAGACCCTGGCCTGCCACCCAGGGGGACTACCACCCAGTTCTGAATAAACCTGCTCAAAGAACTGACTCGACAGATCTTTGGTAGCAACACCCTGCTCAGAAATGTATCAGCAGAGATACATTAGTAGAGTGGAGCCCAAGGCGAGAACCGGGGCCTAAGCCAACTCAGAGAATGGGAACGAGGCTAACAGCGCATTACCCTTACCATACAGGATTTTAGAAAGTGCGCAGAATGCTTAGCATGCACATTTACCACAATGTGGATTTTAGAAAGTGTACAGAGGCTTAGCGTGTGCACTTACCATAGCATGGATTTAGAAACACCATTGCTTAAAGGGTAACCGAGGCTGTATTAAGCCAGCCTAGGGGCCTTATGTGTGCATCTGCTCACAGACCACAAACGCTCAGATGGGAATGGCAGGCTTAAAGATAACCCTCTGAGGTGAGGGGAGCACTGCCTGGCTTGACCCGAATAGCGGCAGCTTATCAGGGAAGCAGCAAGCGGCACAAAACCTCTCAAAGAGAGAGGTCCACAAACGCTCAGACAGGAGTGGCAGGCTCAAAGACAACCCTGTGAGATGAGGGGAGCACTGCCTGGCTTGACACGAATAGAGACAGCTTATCAGGGAAGCAGCAAGAGGCCCAACTACCTGATGTCACTGCCATCGTACTCAAGAGCAGAGGGTTCAACCCCTAGCGAGGAGAGAGAGGAACCCAGCTCGACCGAAGCGACCAATAGCCCAGGGTAGAGGACCTAACTCTAGAGTCGAGAGGAGGACTCACCCAGTCTGCCCAGGACCGGCGAGCTCAAAGGGACCCTCCCGCAGTGAGGGGAGCACAGCCATGCCCGGGGCAGATAGATCGCAAATGGGACATCAGAAATGGGATCCTGCTAGAAGGGGATCACACATTTCTAATGGAACAACAGGGTCCCAACATAAAGGCAACTGACCAAGAAGGCGACAGAGACGGGCCTAACACTTAGTTCATTGCAAATGGGGTCCTACGGGAGCAGTGCTCTCGGCTCTCAAGCTGAGGCAGGTCCTTACAGCACATACTGGGAGCGACTCATAGCTAACCCTCACAGAGAGGGGAGCATTTCTCTTCTCGACCAGAAGGGAGGCGCTAGATTAGAAGGGGTTACCTAGCAGTGCCCAATAAGAGACAGTCCACTGGAGCAGCTCGCAGAAGCATACAAGAGGGGTTTCTGCAGAAACACAAATCCCTCTTACCTCAGGGAACGCAGTGTACTCCAGCCCACTCCGCAGAGGGGTAATTACTGGTTCAACCATAAGGGCAGTGTGACAGTGAGGAACCACAGGCCCGACCGTCTATGGAGCGTTGAGCTCCTCAATGCCTCAGCGAGAGGAGCTCTAGCTCAGAGAATGTGTATGAAGGTTAAGGAACGATTCAAATCTCGGGAGACCCCTCAGGGTGAGAAATGAGTAGTTCGCACCTGGCCAGATGATAGGGAGCATGTCGCGATGCATGTCCTCAAAAGAGTACTAGCCCACGAGAGGGACTCACAGGTCCTGAGGTTGCAGCGTTATACTGGGCACCTAATGCTGGGAAGCTTCCTCAGAAGCCCAGGCTGCGTGTCCAAGCCGAAGATGAGGGCTATCACCAGCCTGGATCCAGAACTGATGAGTGAAACCATCACTGTAATCGGTCAACAGCAGGAGGTCCTGACTTAGCAGGTGGGTCAAACCTAAAAGTCAGAAAAACAGAACAGGTCCGATTAGTGCTGCAGAGAAAGGCTAGCATCGAATACACAAGAACTAGCAGTAGAGTAGATAAAAATGGATCGTACTCACCACCCATGGCTCCCGCGCATGACTCAGGCTCATGGATATAGGCTGGAGGCGAAGTCCCAAGCCTGGACCTTCGTGGTAATGAAGGACTTAAAGGCAGCCGAGCGCGTCTTGGCCTCCTTAAACTTCACGACACTCCTCGTGAGACGAGCGCGTTCAATTCATGCTTATCCCTCACAAGAAATAAGCAATGAATGCAGAGCGCATCCAACTCCCTCAAGAGCTGAACGCGCTTGCTCTACACCACACACACACAAACAGCACGTGAGTCGTGTGAAACTGCAGGTATCAGAGCAAAGCCTCTGGCAAGAGAACATGCACTCCTTGTCGTGCTTAGCTTAACGCTAACATAAACAAACGGTCAGTGAAGACGAAGAAGAGCATGGCGTGTTATTCCGGCACCCTTTTATACTGTGATCGCGCAGGGTAATGATGGCATAGACTGTTGCCGGCCAATGTTATTGTCGTTTTTAGATGTATGCTTCAGACACCTGTCACACTGAAGGCGTTCCCCATAGCGACCTCTAGAGGACGCAGTTCAAAGTTCCCTCGAAAGGGAACTGCAAATTAATACAAGAACACATTATACAGACACTTCATATTTAATGGTATTTGATGATTTGTTAATTGCATTTATATATATTATACTTTCAATAAAACATTTGCATTTCGTTTTAAAAGCTGTTTTTATGCATGTTTTGGCCTGAGGTTTTGTTGCATTTACACAGTTTTGACCAGCAGGCGTCACCAGTGAGTGTCGTTTCCAAGCAGCACGTGAGCCGTGTGAAACTGCAGGTATCAGAGCAAAGCCTCTGGCAAGAGAACATGCACTCCTTGTCGTGCTTAGCTTAACGCTAACATAAACAAACGGTCAGTGAAGACGAAGAAGAGCATGGCGTGTTATTCCGGCACCCTTTTATACTGTGATCGCGCAGGGTAATGATGGCATAGACTGTTGCCGGCCAATGTTATTGTCGTTTTTAGATGTATGCTTCAGACACCTGTCACACTGAAGGCGTTCCCCATAGCGACCTCTAGAGGACGCAGTTCAAAGTTCCCTCGAAAGGGAACTGCAAATTAATACAAGAACACATTATACAGACACTTCATATTTAATGGTATTTGATGATTTGTTAATTGCATTTATATATATTATACTTTCAATAAAACATTTGCATTTCGTTTTAAAAGCTGTTTTTATGCATGTTTTGGCCTGAGGTTTTGTTGCATTTACACAGTTTTGACCAGCAGGCGTCACCAGTGAGTGTCGTTTCGAGTGTCCTCAATCATAGTCCTCATTATGCAGGAGAGAATTTTAATGTTTTCCTGAAGTATGGCTTTAATGAGGTGTAGATGCTTGCTTACCAGTGATTTTGAGAACCACCTCTTCACTCCCATATGAACTTTCTCCAGACACATAGCAGTGAAATGAACCTTCATCTTGCACTCTGAGTTTCTCCAGCCGTAGAGAGACGTCTCCATCCTTCAGTCCACCAGACTGATCTGACCGCAGAGCCAAAGAGCTTCGGTTCCTGTACGGTTCCTCCTGGACGTCCTGGAGCTTCCCATGATTATAGAGCAGAACAGGGCTGCTGAACTCATCGTGACGGTACCAGCGGATCTCCAGAGCTTCAGCGTTCTCAGGAGGAGAGATCCAGCAGGGAACAATCACTGTGGATCCCACATGAGCCGCTATAGGATCACCAGGAACCACTACAGTGAACGACACTGAGAGACAGAGAATTAATTATTAATTTACTACAAATATTTAAGGTGCAGTCAGGTGCGAATTTTTCAGTCATTTTATTAGGGATCCACGCGACTGGGAATTCTGTGTGAGGGTGAAAGATTTTGAAACAGGTTCAAGTTTTTTTGTGTAGAATCTGCAGATAATAATAGTTATTTGCTCCTATTACTGTTATTTGGCTGGCTAGTTTTTTTAAGGAAGAAATCTGCTTGTATTTTGACTTAGTGTCACATTACCCTAACATAAGTACAGTCTATATGTAATAGTGCCATAATATCTAATAGAAATTGATAATGTATTTGAATTACTCGGAAGCCATGTAACTGAATGAAATCCAAGCATGTTCTTACCTGAAGTCTCTATGAGGAGATTCACCACGACAATAATCGACAGCATGCCTGTGAAATACAGACAGACTCCAATAAAACAAACTCTGAGGGAGATTCTTCCAGAATAGGGTAGAATGGTAGTCATCAATATCATACACTCCCATCACATTTTTGAGCTTACAGTAGAAGTGTCATGTGACTGAGCAACATTGTAGTGTTCAAGACCAAAAAAATTTTGATTAAGTTTTTTTTTCTTTTCATTGTGTTGTAGATACAATTATTTGACTTACATAACCTAAGCTGTTTGTCTAGTTTAGTTTGATACTTTGCATTCATGCTAACTTCAAACCCACATGCTAAAACAGCTAGCTATGCTGTGGCTGCTCGGGGTGGGTATAGGTAAAAACCATCCTCTGTTGTGGCTGTCACGTGAGGTTTTTGTTGTGCATCAAGGGATTCATGTGGTAAATGTGGTAAATTTTTAGAATTTATGTGTGTTTTTATGTGATATTCCAAAAAATTTACATAAAAATAGGTGGAGAGCAACATAGATAGTAACACATTATACACACACTCACACACACTCACACACACACTCACACACTCTCTCTCTCTCTCTCTTTCAAACAACCACACGGCAATTATTTTTGTGATAAATTTATAATAAGTCCTAAAATAAATACAATAAAATGTTTTTGTCACTTTAAATAGTTACTCTATTCAAAACTGATCATTCTTTGTTCTTAAATAAATGTTCTGCATAAATTGGAAGTGTGAGTCTTGTTTCATTAAACTGCCCTGCGTTACAGCTCACCCAGCAGAGGATAGTCTGTTACAACGGAACTATTAACTCACTTAACCACTGAATGAAAAAAATCTAAAAGGTTATTGCGACTTTTTATCTCACAATTCTGACTTTTTTATAACTTTATAACACGCAATTGCGAGTTATAAAGTCAGAATTGCGAGATATAAACTCTAAGAAAAAAGTCACCACTTCGAGAAAAAAGTCAGAATTGTGAGTTAAAAAGTTGCAATAACGTTTTTTATTTATGTTTTTTTTCAGTGGCGGAAACGGGCTTCCATGAGTTTCATTTGTAGTAGACAAATGTGGCTCTCGTTTCTGAAAGCTTGAGAGATCAAGCACAAACAACCCCAGAGTTACTGATGCTCAAGCTAAGTGTTACTACAACCCCTGAATCGATCACCGTTCAATGAAAAAACTAACTCACCGGAGACAAAGACTCCTCCGTTACAGTAAATCACAGCAATCAAATGTAATAAACCTGTAAATATAAACGGTGCCACAGACGCAGATCAGTGAGAATCCAAGCTTACTTTCATTTCTAAACGATCAGATGATGATTAACGCTTCATATACGTGTGATTCTGTAAGATGTGTGTGTGTGTGTGTGTGTTACGAGGCGCGTGATGCGATTGAACGTGAAGCACATGATGATTTGTCTGTAGAAAACAACATCACATGAGGGGAAAGCCTGAAATATGCGGCGCGTTAGATTACGAAAAGAAAGATCATCATTCTGTTCCCGCGCTCGACGGATCAACAGCTTTGGGGAAGTTTACATTTGAGTTCGCATGCTGTCTTTTTTATTATTATTAATAACAGTTATATTGGAGCTCAGAGTTCATTTTAACTAGCAAAAGAGTGACATATTAAGGAAAATGCTTGATATAACTTGCATGTTTGTGAGTGTGTTAATTCATTGAATTATTTACAACTCTACTATATCGCATTTATGCTGATCTCAACACTCGGATGGTCTCTTATTGACAGACAGAGAGCGCCACCTACAGACAGGTCAGGAAACCTTCAGTTTATTGATAGCTCTGTTTTTGTTTTGAATCTGATGTTAGAGTAGTTTGGTCACAACCCTTTAATGATTTTGTCCTAATCAGCCATAATCATGACAAGTTATGAGCATCATGATGTTCTTCGTTCTCTTATATTTTTTATCTTAAAATGTATCACATCCTTCCTGGTTAGGAAACAGTGTTGCATGAAACAGAAACTTGAGTTAATGAGTTTCTGACTCGTTTGCATTTTCTTCTTCTGACAGCATCTAATCCAGCCAATCAGCCAATGGCTCCGGAAACCAGCCCTGTGTCCAAAAAGAGGAAAATCAAGAAATCAATCGAGGACGAAGGTGTAGACCAACCTGCTGAACAGCGTCTTTGGACAGGTATCTCACACTCTTCTGCTCTTGTGTCAAACTCATCAACTGTTCCTCACTTCAGAACACTTAGAATAAAGCACACAAGTCATGTGTCAAACCTTAACCTTCCACATCAAATCCAAATATTTCAGTCACACGGATAACTGCGTTCACATGGTGATGTTTGAGGTGATTATATCGTGTGCTTGTGCTCTCTGAAGCAGGACATGATTAAACCTGTGCTAAATGAGGGCATCTTTGTGGAGAGTTTTGCAGAAAACGTTGAGCAAATTTAAACATGTGAAAAGATGAAATGGATTTATAATTTAAAAAATGTGTCTTTGTTTTGAGAACTGAATGAATGGTTTGGGAAACTGGGCCAATGAATCAGTTCTAGTGTAAAGTAGAACTGTAAAGCATATTAAAACAGTCATATTAAGACACCATATCATTATATCATATTATTTCCATAATGGAAACCACAACTGTCTTAATATGATATAGATATAATATGACTGTCTCTGGACATTCTGCTGAACGTCTCCTTCTGCACTTTTTACCATTTTATGTACAAGAAATAATTTATCTTCTGTTGATGGTGTTGCCTCCATGAGTTTCCTCTTGTTATTTACCTCGAGAATCTTGAACACCAGAGCATTTGACCCAGAATGTTCCTTGCTCAGTAGAATTAGTTCAGTTTAACAGACTTCTGTTCTATTAGTGTCATTTTACACCTCACAAACTGAGCAGAAATGAGGTGAATTCAGGAGCGTTCAGTCGATTTCCTCTCAGACTCACCAAACCTGTTCTATCCATGTTTTCTTCTGCTTCAGCGCACATGAGTCACTTCAGCAGTTACAGTTCCTGTAAGTATCGCAAAGAACAAACGTCTTCCTCAGAGTTTCCTCCTCACAGTCTAAAATGAGAGAAAATATCAATGGAAGGTTTAATTATCAGTGTGTTTCAAAAATATTCCAGAGTCCAGACTTTGTAAACCACATTATGCTTTAACACTTTCAGACAGAGAGACAGAATATCTGATTAAATCATTAGAATTTTCCAGACACGAGCAGTGTCTTCTCTACATTAATGCTGTTTGATTGTTAGTAATGACACAGACAGTAGCAGGTCTCTATTGGCAGCTTTTAACCTGAAAAACTTTCGCAAAGGTGAATCCCTTCAGCATGTGTGTCAAGACTTGTGTTTTAGAAGTTGAATTTCTTTCAGTTTGACACAGCATCTTAAAAATGTTTCCTCGTACGCGAGATGATGCAGAAGACACAAGTGCAATGATCAAAGACGTCTGTCTAGCACATTCAAACATCGATTTACTCATAGTGTTGATTTAGATATTGTTTAAGGAATTATACTTCGGGTTTTATGTGTATGTGAAGGGCTGCGTACAGTGGCGTGACCGTGATGCAAATTTCATCACCAGAATAATTTGTGCGTACTGTACATGTGTCACACTTCTACTGTCGGAACGAGTAGCGAGGAGATGCAGGAGTAACTCAACTTCACAAATTTTAATGAACAGGGTAACACACACGGAGATGACGTTTAGACGTTTAACACTGGACACTAGACAAGGGAAAACACTGGGCTTAAGAAACTGGAACTAAACGAGGGAATTAACAAGACACAGCTGAATCAAATGGAACTCAATGGGAACAGGAACAGGAAGAACCAAATATGGGCAGAAAGAAACACGGGAGAAACTGGGTCACGGGGCACATTGGGAGCAAAACACAAGACAAGAACACAGGGGCAGTCAATGGGTGTGACAACATGCACCAGCTGATTTTTTTGTACCCATGCGTAACAGACAGCCGCATTGACAAGCGTTTGTGTGAGGGGTTATGAGAGAGCAGCAACTTCAGTTCAAAAGAGTACAAAGATATTTTATCGGTTATCCACCTTTTTGTTGTCGTAAAAATGGGCGCAGCCATTTGTAAATTCTATGGGTCTAGCTTCTGTTCTCATACGCGTCCAGCTATTTTTAGCTGTACAAAACAGTTCGTTTTGCTGCTTGATATTGAAAAATAATACTTATCATATTATTTTAATGTATTATTTTAATTATGAACACACTGGTTTGTAGTGCAGTTTTACCGTTTACTGCACGTTGTTATTCTCCTCGTTATTTACCTAAGGCGGCTAATGAACCGGAAGTCTCACCCATAGGCTTACTTCTGCGTTAAAGAAAAAAGTGTATAACTTCTGGAGAAAAATAGCGCAGACACTGGACAAAGATGAAGCTTTCTAGAGCGTATGTGTCGACTGTATGCATGCATACAGCATACAGCAGCATACACGAACAAAAACAAAGCATACTTTTAGGCTTAAGTTCTCATGTTCAGGCTTGGCATCACGATTTTGTAGTTTTTGACTCACCAGTAATTTTGAGGTCTTCACTGCCACATGAACTTTCTCCACTCACATCACTGTGCATCATAACAAACCCTCACTCTGTGCTGTATAAGTTACTCTCTATATGACCATATATAACATAGTCCTACACTGCCTGGCCAAAAACAAGTTGCACACTCTTAATATTTCATTGAAACACCTTTAGATTTGATAACATTGTGCTTTGGTTGTGGCATTGTTTCAACAACCTCATGCAACATCACAACATTTATTTCCATCAAGAGTTGCATTAATTTTTGGCCCGAGATCTTGTGGACTGATTTTAGCTGGAAAAATTACTCTTTGTTATTGTCTTCTTGCATCAATTATGAATATATCTTAGTTTTATAAATGAAATGTATTTCAAATAAATACCCCAAAGTACAACGATCATCCATTAAAAGTGTTTGGCCGAGGCACCTTTACAAAAGTCTTAACCAAACATTTCACACATCATGTTGCTCCATCAGTAAACAGTAAAATGAAATGCAAATATGTTTGGTATATCATATTTTTGAACCAGGAAAAAAATTTAATGCTCCTAAAGGATAAAGTCTTTTAGCCATGTTGTAGCGCCATTAAGGGCCGAGCAAACCAGCAAATCAGTCTCTGTACTGCATTTACATCAATTCATGTAGCAGATGCTTTTATCCACAGTGACTTACAAATGAGGAAAGAGCCAACAATAACTACAGTACACAGCATCAAGTTTAGAACAGAGACTGGGATATAGTATATGGAATAGTGGTTTTAGTAAGTTTCTTTATGTTTGTGTATTAGTTGAGTGCTTGAGAAAGATGAAGACTGTCTGTAAAAATAATTCCTCTCTGTAGACAGAAGATGAATGTGCACCATTTATTCAGTTAAATTATTCCATTGTTTAGTACAAAGTGAATACAAGTTAAGTAGGCTATACTCTACCGGATTTGACTACATGCACATACACACATACATAAGAGTATTTATATCACCCATAAATATATATTCAGGAAAGATTAGATGTGCAGCACTGGATTTGGTCTTGTTATGTGATACTGTAGGATTGTTGTGGTATCTTGACTTTTGTTGAATTGATGGCATTGCATTCAAGCTGCATACTTTATCAGAGGTCTTCAAACCTGCTTCTGCAAAGTTTAGGTTTAACCTAAGTAAGCTGCTTTTTATCACTTAATTAGAAGCACTGTTACTTCGTCTGTTACATGAACAGACATGCAGAAACTTATTACAAACACTATAATCAGGAAATCAAAGGTTCTACAGCAGAGATGGGCAACAACACTAGTCCTGCAGAGTTTAGACAAGCATAGCTCCGTCCTAAATCAAACACACCTGCCTGTAATTCTCTAGTAATCCTTAAGACTTCGGTTAGATTGGGATCGGAGCTAAACTCTGCAGGACAGCGTTGTCCATCCCTGTTCACTTGACCAAATACCTGAAACACATCATGTAAGTAGACTGGGAATCAAACCCATGAAGATTAGTGTTTTTGTGCTCATGCTGTACGTCCAGATTAAACGCACTGCATTAGTCAGTCAGGCGTCTGAGCTGTTATTACTCAGTAAAGGCTGACTGGATTGAGGTAATTCTACAGGTGCTTCTACAGGTTCTGGACAATCCAGAATTGTAAGTGGACTCTGATCACCTGCACCAGGATTGAAGAGAGGACCGACTGATCCAGAGAATCTGCTGCTGATGGTCAGGAGATGTTTACTCTCTTTGACGTTGTAAAATGACAGCAGACCCTCATCATAATCTAACAGAACTCCCAG